TCCTTTGGACACAGTTCTAGTTATTGAAGTATTATCCAAATTTGTACTTCGCCTTGTTAATTATGATGTAATTGTTAAAATTTTCATGATGTAAACACACTACAGGGAGTGTATTTTTTAGCAACCTATACTTAAAAGAAAAGAAAAAAGAGGTATTTCTATACACTTGATTGCATTCCTGTTGCTGTTGGCCAAAACTTCTTTACATTTTACACTAACCTTTAACTAACATTAAAGAATTTTATAAACCTGTTGCTTGTTTTAAATAAGAAAAATCCAGTAAAGATCTATTCCTTAAGGTGAGCGATATAGGGCCATCATGGCCCTCTTGTCCTAGTGTTACCACAGGTCAGATAACCAGACCCATTCACAATGGGAAATATGCTTTCTTCCCCATTTTTTATAACATATTCCATTGTTTAATAATTAATGTTCAATGCTAATAAAATATTGTTTTCTATGTATTATATGATAATAAAATTATGCAACAATAGTCGAAGTTTGGTTATAATAATCGCCTGTAGTATGTGTACCCTGGTATTCAGGGATTGAGCTTTACTGGGAGAAATTGATATGTAATGACATCAGTACTGGGTAGTCAAGGAAATTGAGTCAATAATGATTTTATATATTTTACAATTTTCTTAGCAAGTGAGGTAAAATCAAAATAACTTGCTAGTATTTCATTAATTAAATCAAAAAGTTATAATAATGTTGATATATTAAGGGAGATGTTTACTAGACACTTAAAGATATTGTGGACAACGCCAATAAACATTCCGTCCTCACAAAAGCTTGCCTCTTAATTTTCATATAAGCCTAATTGATGAAGCATTCAGTAATAAAATAACTTGCCCAAGAGACAAGCTTTAAAGTGACTACACTGAGATTTTTTGACATGACTGGAAATATATTTGAATTTTGTTCCATTTGATGGAGGTCTAGACAAATAACTGGTGTGCAAAATTTAAGATCATTCGACCACTCTGCTTTTCCAGAATGATTTTCCTAAATGTTAAAAATGATTCAAAATTTATTTTATTTATTTATTGGTCATAACTAATGGATGGACCTCTATTGATTTTAAGTTTACTGGGGTCAAAGGTCAAAGTCACAGGGGCTTTAAAAGTCAAAATGGTTTCCGCTGATCATCTTATAAAGTGTTCATCACAAAGTCGTCATATTTGATTTAAATTATTGATTGGTCATTACTAGTAGATGATCCCTATTTAATTTGGGGTCACTAGGTCAAAGGTCACAGGGGCCTCAAATGTCAGAATTGCTTCTGCTGACTAACTTGAAAAGTATTTATCACAAAGTCTTCATATTTCACATATTGATTGATCATAACGAGTAGATGACCCCTATTGATTTTGAGGTTACTAGGTCAAATGTCACACGGGCCTCAAATGTCAGAAATAATACCGCTGATTATTTTGAAAAGTATTTATCACAAAGTCTTCATATTTCACATATTGATTGATCATAACGAGTAGATGACCCCTATTGATTTTGTGGTTACTAGGTCAAATGTCACATGGGCCTCAAATGTCAGAAATGATTCCGCTGATTATTTTGAAAAGTGTTTATCACAAAGTCTTCATATTTCACATATTGTGGGGCGTCCGTGGTCGAGTGGTTAAGGTAGTTGACTTCAAATCACTTGCCCCTCACTGCTGTGGGTTCGAATCCCGACAGGGACTTTGGATTCTTTCATGCGAGGAAGCTATCCAGCTAGCTTACGGAACGTCGGTGGTACTACTCAGGTGCCCGTTCGTGCTTGAAATATGCACGGAAGGGCATCTGAGGTCTTCCTCCACCAGTTAAGCTGGAACGTCGCGATATGACCTATATTGTGTCGGTGTGACGTTAAACCAAAAAACAAACAAACAAACAAAATTTCACATATTGATTGATCATAACGAGTAGATGAAACCTTTTGATTTTGCGGTCACTAGTTCAAAGGTGAAGGTCAAAGGGGCTTTAAATGTAAAAATGGTTTCCGCTTATTATATTGAAAAGTATTCATCACAAAGTCGTCATATTTCACATAGTGATTGGTCATAATTAGTAGATGACCCCTGTAGATTTTAAAGTCACTGGATCAAAGGTCAAGGTCACAAGGAACTTAAATGTCAGAATGGTTTTGGCTGATTAACTTGAAAATAATTTATCAATTAAACTTCATATTTCACATATTGATTGGTCATAACTAGTAGATGATCACTATTGGTTTTAGGGTCACTAGGTCAAAGGTTACAGGGCCCTCAAATGTCAGAATTGTTTCCGCTGATTATCTTAAAAAGTATTTATCACAAAATCTTAATATTTCACATAGTGATTGATCGTAACTAGTAGATGACCCCTGTGGATTTTAAAGTCACTAGGTCAAAGGTCAAGGTCACAGGGAGCTTAAATGTCAGAATGTTTTTGGCTGATTATCTTGAAAAGAATTAATCACAAAAACTTCATATTTTAAATATTGATTAGTGATAACAAGTAGATGACCCATATTGATTTTTTGGTCATTATGTTGAAGGTCAAGGTCACAATGGCCTTGAATGGTAATATGATTTCCGCTTTTTCTCTTGGTTACTATTTATCATAAAGTCTTCATATTTCACATATTGATTGGACATATCTAGTAGATGAACCCTATTGATTTTGGGTCACTAGGTCAAAGGTCAAGGTCACAGGGGTCTCAAATATCACACTGGTTTCCGCTCATTATCTTGGTTACAATTCATTGCAATATCTTCATTTTTCACATGTTGACTGGGCAAAACTAGTAAATGACCCCTTTGATTTTTGGGTCACTAGGTCAAAGATCAAGTCACAGGGGCTTTTAATGTCAAAATGGTTTCCGCTGATAATCTTGAAAAGTATTCATCACAAAGTCATATTTCACATATTGATTGGCCATAACTAATAAATGACCCACATTGATTTTAAAGTTACTAAGTCAAGGTCAAGGTCAGAGGTTGCTTAAATGTCAAATTGGTTTCCGCTGATTATCTTGAAAGTATTCATCATAAAGTTTTCACATTTCTCATATTGATCGGACATAACTAGTTGATGACCCCTTTTGACTTTTGGGTCATTAGGTAAAAGGCAAAGGTCACAGGAGCCTTGAATGGTAATATGATTTACACATATTACATTGGATTATCATTTATCTCAAAGTTTTCATATTTCACATATTGATTGGTCATAACTAGTAGATGACTCCTATTGATTTTGGGGGCAATAGGCCAAAGGTCAAGGTTACATGGGCTAAAATGTCAGAATAGTTTCCGCTTATTCTCTTGGAGACAATTCATCGCAAAGTCTTCATTTTTCACATGTTGATTGGTCTTATCAGGTTGATAACCCTTTTTGGGTCACTAGGTCAAATGAAAAGGTCACAGGAGCCTTGAATGGTAATATGCTTTCTGCTTATTATCTTGGGTACTTTTATCACAAAGTCTTCATATTTTACATATTGGTTGATTGTAATAAGTAAATGACCCCTGTTGATCTTATTGTCATTAGGTCAAAGGTCAAGGTCACAGGGACCTAAAAGGTCTGAATGGTTTTCGCTAATTATCATGAAAAGTATTCATTACAAAGTCTACATAGTTTACATATTGATTGGTCATAACTAGTAGGTGACCCTTGTTGATTTTTGGGTAACTACATCAAAGGTCAAAGTCACAGGGGCCTCAAATGTTAGAATAGTTTCTGCTCATTATTTTGGTCACAATTTATCACAAAGTCTTCATACTTCACATATTAATTGGTCATAACTAGTAAGTGACTCTAGGGTTAGGGTTAGGGTTAGGGTCAAAGGTCAAGGTCACAGGGGCCTTGAATAGTAATATAATTTTTGCTTATTATCTTGGTTACTATTTATCACAATTTCTTCATGTTTCATATATTGATTAGTCATAACTAGTTAATACCCCCTATTAATTTAAGGGTCACCAGGTCAAAGGTCAGGGTCACAGGGCCTTCGAATGGTTTAATGATTTTAGCTCATTATCTTGAAAGATAATTATCACAAAAATTCCTATTTCTTATCGTGATAGGTCATAAGCAACAGAGTATCAGTATTGCTTTTGGGGTTCCTAGATCAAAAGTCAAGGTCACAGCGACCTTACGTGTCAGAACGGTTTCCGCATATTATCTTGGAGACTTTTGATCACAAAGTCTTAATATTTCACATACTGATTGGTCATAACTAGTAAGTGACTCTATTGATTTTGGGGTCACTAGTATTAAGGTCAAGGTCACAGGGTTCTTGAATGCTAGTATGGTTTCCGCTCATTATCTTGTAAGCTATTTATCACAAAGTTTTTCATAATTCTATTATTATTATTATATGAAACAATTTAATCCAAACGAATAAACATCTTATCATTTGTATTACATATAAATGAATTTCATAATGATCAACCATAATCATATGGATTTGATTTCTGCAGGTTCGCAATCTGTAGCAGATAGTTCATTTTTTGTGTGGTTAACAAAACATGGACTAAAACATAATAATATTATTCTGTTAAATATAAGCCTTTGACATTTCGAGTATAATGCCAATAAATGTGAAATTGTTAATGAATAGAAATCTACTCGGACATAATTCGCAGTACATATCTTAGTGTCACAAGCATTGGCCTTCATCCTGATGGCCTGTGTCAAATCAAACTCTTTGTCTGATGAGATGTCTTAATGAAAGTGCTTTACAGAGCAATTATATACTTGTGATTTAACCGGTCCGGAAAAAGCTTTCCGATTCTGCTTTCAAAAAATTTTCATACAAAAATGCGTAAGCAGACGGCAAAAAATTATCTATTATCTTCACCCTTAATCTGATCTTCAATAATGTCTTCATACATAAGTTTGAATTATATGAAGAACAATTGAAGGAATAGGAGTTCAGAAAATTAACTCTTATAACCAAAATGTCCAGTATATTGTTTTTTTAAACTCGGTCTGACAAAGAAAACACAAGACAGTAGTTCTGATCTGAATTTTAATAAAGCAATACAATATACATTAAGCTCGACATATTTAATAAGAAATTTTTAAAGGAATCTACAACTTATAGTTCTATTTATATACAATAAATTGTAAACAAGCTAAAACACTACTAAGTATATCGAACAGTAATATATTCTTATTGTTGAATAGATGTAAACAAGCTTAAAACATAATATCTAAAATTAATACTAGTATATTCTAATTCCATTAAAACAGTAAACAAGCTGAAAAATATATCTAAAAGCAATGTTTTCTTATTTCAATAAAGAAGTAAACAAGCTGAAACATTATATTTAAATGTAATATATTCTAATTCCATTAAAGAGGTAAACACGCTGAAATGGTATACTTATTCTATTTAAGAGGTAAACAAGCTCAAATCTACAAATATTATATACTGATTATATTAAAAAGCAGGCCTTCAGATAATAGAAAAACTACCGCCCTACTAATTTTTCAAATCTCTCCTTAAAACATTATATAGTTTAAAAAAGATGAAATTAAATCAAAATGTTCATATTTTAACATTCTTGATCTGAAAATAAACAATTTGCTTTTCCGCCAACGAGAGAAACCTTCTTTCATTATACTACAAAAAAAATCTTTCATCCTGGATGTTTTCCGGTATCACGTGATTGTACAGGACAATATCGCGACCTGTGATACGGAATGCACAGACTGTGTGCGTATTTGAGTTAATTTATACTGGCCAACGGTTGTCCATATGGGCGAGTCCTCCAAACGGGTATTAGTCATTTAAGATTTTTGGAGGATAGTGCAAGATACAGATACAGAAAGATGCTCCAATTCCAGAAGCTTCTACTTGTTTTAATTAAGCCGGGCGTATCAAATGTTCACAGCTCATTTCCACATTTTCTTTGTATTAAAAAGCAAATATAAATTGCCAACATAATCTAGCAACATCTATATTAGAAGTTGAAATTATTTCCAGTGGGATTTTACAAATTTAGTTATTTATTGTGCATCAATTTTCATTTATTACTATCCCTTTAAATCAACTTATCGTACTTGCTCTAAGCAGGCAAATGTTTTAAAATCAACGTTACTTCCAAAATTTATTTTCATCCGTCACCTAGTACAACAGTTTAATATAATTTATGCTGACACATAAAAGCCACAAGAAAACATTTTGAAAAAGAAAAACAAGTAAACAATCACTTAACTGAAACTATTATTATGAATGTTGAACAAGAAAAAAAACAATCACCTTAGTGAAACTGTTATTATGAACAAGAAAAAAACACAATTACCTACGTGAAACTGTAAGTACGAACAAGAAAATAAACAATCACCTAAGTGAAACTGTTATTATGAACAAAAAAAAAACAATCAACTAAGTGAAACTGTTATTATGAACAAGATTAAAACACAATCACCTACGTGAACTGTTATTATGAACAAAAAAAATCATCTTAAAACAATCTGTTTACTGAAACTGTACTTATGAATTGTGAACAAATTAAAAAGCCAATGTCTTAACTGAACCTGTTAAATAAATGGTAAACAAAAACAAAAACAATTTTTTAAATGAAACTTATTATGATCAAGCAGATGTACTCATGCCTATTTTCATATCTGTTATCTTCTACATGTATATAATTATCTATATTATTAACTATATTATATTTTGAATTTTGTTCTTAAATTATTGAAAAGAAATTGTTGTGATTTCTTTTTGATTTTGTCCAATCCAAACTTTCCATAATCGAACATAAAACGCTGTTAAAATGAGACACATTATATACTTGTTGCAAAATATTTTAAATGAATTTAGTAAGTCAATACTATTATAAGGACGTGTTCGTTCTTTCGTCGAAAACTAAATGCATCAATAGAATTTAGATAACGTTGTCATTAATGGCTGTCAAAATCCTTTCATTCACTGAATAGCGTCCGAATGCGTGTCGTAACAATCGTTGGATTGACTAGACAGTGAGCGAATCATACATGTACCTACGTCTGAGATCTTCCCTGAAACTTCATAGGTCATGCACCGTTTCCTGATAAAATATAGATTAAGCGTGTTTACATACCAGTCGATCTTATTATGCTTTTGAACGGATCAAAGCTAAGATGTTAGTCAGAAAGGTTTAATAATTAAATATTAACACAACAGGACATTACCTGCTTATAATAACAGCTCCTACCATGTGCTTAAAAATGAAGCATTCCATAAAAGACGCCGCCGCTCACCGGCGTCGCCAATAATCATCGTTTCATTTAACATGTTTCATTTATTTTTGGTCATATGGCGACTTCTCAACTTTATAATAACAAATATATACAGGTTCCAAAAACACCTGATTTGTGACATTTGAAAATTAATGGCACAAAGAAGTACAACTGTATTTTCACTATATATCGTCATAACTGTCTTATTGTAAATCAGTTGGCTAAAACTAAAACATTTTAAAAATATATTTTAAGAATATAAAACAAAACTTTTGATATTCTTTCAATGACATCCAAAACAAACAAAATGGACGATTACTGACCATTTAATATTCAATTTCATGCTGTTACATCTTAACAATGTGAGTCAATATAAGAATTCTTACAATGTTGAATTTTTGTCTATGATACAATGGTATCATATCCAGTATATTTAATCTATGCACATCTTTACTCTGATCATTATTTGATAATAACAAGAAACAATTCACTAAAAACATAAAATATACCAACCTTTTAAGGTGTTTCCTCAGACAAGAGCTGCCCACGATAAGTACTACTAAAACAACAACTACACAGGTGACGACAATAATAGTAACAGCTGCAAAAACAAAGTTTAAAAGCAAAAGATATTTCTATATTTAAATCATAATAACTAAAATTAAAACTGTCATATTTTTTTCAGACCGAAATAACTAAAATGTTCAAACATTTCATGTTAGATTAGTTTTTTAAAGACATTACATACAGTAAATATGTTAAAAGGTATTATAAAATCATATTGAATAGTATAGTATGTTTATGTATTCTTATCTTTTAATTTATCAGTTTTAACATGTTTTAATGAAAATAAAGATTATAATAAAATATAGAGGATATTTCTTTGTTTCACGTTAGATAGATAAGATCAGTCAATTTAAATATATACTATGCTCATATTTGATAAAAAATACTTTTTTTTAAAGAAATTTGATAAAATCTAGGTAACTCTTTTGCAGTATTTCAACGTGTGTGAAAGAATGCAAATAAATTATATTTGTGACGCTTCATTCCCTTTTACTGTTCAAGTTAATTTGTCATTTGTTAAAGTTTCAGAATTTACGGGAAAAGATGTAATAAACAAATATATGTATATATTCAAGACGACGAAAACTGTAGAACTCTAACATTAATTAATGCAATATATTTGAGGCTATTTACAAAAAAAAAACTTTTTCACTACACATTATAATAAAAATAAAATGAATCAAATATTGCACTTACTTGTGTAATTGTCCGTGTCGACTTGTTTTGTGTCGTCATCACTGTCATCATCATGATGAGAATCCGTTTCATTTGATATTTTCACTGTAATTAAGAATAAAAACTATTTTGGACTAAGACTTCCTACAAATCTGTTTTTGCCATTAGGTTTATAAGATATTGATAAAATAGATTTGACGCATGTTGTACATTGTAAACACCATTTATATGCAATCTAAACAAGGAACTTTTCCTCATCATAACTTTTGCAACTAGTATGACTCTTGTCTTTTATAGAATAACAAAGTCAGTAAGTGTTTTATTAAGCGATAACTCACTTTGAATCCATATTGTTTCGTGATCAGCGTCAGAAGCTTTATGCAAATTAATATAGCACAGTGTTAGTGTGACAGCTTCCATCATATTTATATTTATGTATATTTTGCATAGTTCTTATTTCATGTATATTCCATTTGTAAATGGATTAATGATGTAAATAACATATTTGTATTATTCTTTAAAATTAGAAATTAACTACCAGAACATTCAGATATATCCGAAGATCCAAATGTGGCTGTGGTATTCCCGGATGGACAAGAAAAGCACTCAGTCTGTCCAGTCAAAGGTTGATACGATCCAATTTCGCAATTTATACACTCGAAGTCAACAAGATATGTTCCCACTGGACACTGTGCTGGTGATTTAAGAAAAGAAAAAGAAAACAATATTGCAATTACAAATTTGGCATCCGTGAGAAAAGAAAAAAACACATCATGTTTATTCTATTGATATAATATATTCTTTAGAAATAAAAATAATTAACTCGAAACAAAAACAGTATAAAAAATATCACTTTTTACAAGCATACGAAAATACAATGTACAGTAATTTGTTAAATAATAAACTTTTTGTATTGATATATATTAATTTTCAATTTACATTATGCACGTCAATTTTAAAAATAATTCTTTTTCTATTCTGGAAATAATTTTTACAACATAATTGTAAATACAAAGTGTCAGAATTTATAGCATACAGCTAGAAAAAATCTTGCGAATCTAACTAGTGTTTCTTTAGATGAAAAAACATCATTTTAACAAAAATATAAAGACGAAATATTGAAAAGCATATCAGGACAAGCCAAATACTTTTAAATTGATTTAAAGTCAGGGTATTAAAGAGAAACATGTCGTACCACATAGGCCATCCGCACCTGCGTACCCATTTGGACACGAAACAGTGCCTACAAAATCTAATGTAGTGTTTTCAAGTGTATAATCGACACCGTTGACAGAAACTTGAAATATTGATTCTGTGTCGTTTTGCATATATTCAATGGCGTCGTTAATTGATCCAAGCGCATGAAGTAACTCTTGCATGGCAGAAGCCTCTAGATAAATTAATTGATAACAGAAGCTGCAATCTAAACCATTATGAGCATATACATGTATTTCAAAATTTGATATGCTACGAACTGTCATTTGGTGCTTACTGAAATAATACGTTACTATAGAAACCATTGTTGATGAAATAGCCCTTCATTGTGACTTGAATAGATTAGGCATAATCATCATATTCTTAACAATCAAGTTCTGGGAAACTCCACTGCGCATACATTTATGCGATACTTGTTTTGAATTTGTCTTAAATTTACACGAAAGTATTACGTATAAGGATCTACACAGCTACAGACATAAGCAATAAACAAATTACATTAACATAAACACAACTGTTTCAATGCGTTAGAGACATACAAGGTGTGTGTGTGTGTGTGTGTGTGTGTATGTGATTGGGTGCGTGTAAGTTCGCGTGTGTTTGTGCGTGCGTGCGTGCGTGCGTCCGTGTGTGTGTGTGAGAAACATCAATTTTATGAAGCCTTGGGTCGATTTTAAGATATATTTTTTAACTCATTCAGGGCAATTGTCATATCAAAGCGGCCATTCAAAAAATACAAAGTTTACAAAGACAAATATATGCAATATGAATATAGTATCAAATAAATAACATTAAAAGTCTCAGATATTTCGTCAGCTAGTACATAAAATATAGTTGGTCATAATAGTCAATGTATATAATTGTCAATTAGGAATTATATAAATCAAAGTACACATAAAGCATGTTAGAATAAGAACCGAAATGTGCTTCATTAATTTATACCTGTTCCATTAGAAAGATAACCTGCCACATCTAAATCGCCTGTATCTGACAGTTTAACTGACAAATACACCTTTAATGTTGTTGACGGTGTTCTATTATGACTTTGGTAACTAGTAGAAACTGTTGTTGTTACTGTACATGCTTCATTAGAAATACAATTAACTCCAGATAAATTATTCTCAACTGCCGCAGTAACATCGTTTTGCGCCGACACGGAAATAGGCTGTGTGTACTCCACAGTTACTAGTGTCCCCAAAACATTTGGTCGATTTAACTCTAAATAATTAAGTTATAAATGTTTTTATTGTAGACTTATATAACTTAACTTTCTTTTTACATTTAATACTTTTATAAACAAATAAATTGCTCGTCTATAATCTTAGTATCTTTTAAAAATAAGCAGTAAATCTTATAACAAATAACCGTACGCCAACTTTATGTTATACAGTCCAATTTGCTGGTAATCGAAAGAAACATGTGAAGAAAACAAAAATCGATTAACTTAGACGTTTATCGATGAAATCAATAACTCCATATGCATATCTCCTTCCGACGTTTTTAAAGTTATTATAATATCATTTTAGAATAAAAAGCTTCAATTTTGCTTTCATGTGTAATATGGTCATACGAATTCTAATTTCGACGTACTGTTCGAAATATTGTCACTAATAGAAATAGAGTTTCGAGCTCTAGAGAACAAGTAATTTCACGTACCAACACATTCTGGGAGTTTTTCAGTTGGAAGCCATTTATGCCCTGTTGAATCACCACATGTATATTCAAGAAAGTTTGTTTGTCCATTGCTTAAAGCTCGACCAGGAATACATGTCATGTTACATGTCTGCAAAAAAGCTGACACATTGTGGCAGTTAACTACTGCACCATATCTACTTTTAAGCACTGGACAAGCTGAAAAATATAGTCACAATTGTGTTTACACTAAAACGTTGTTTTTTATTTTAGTTGACGGGTTTGACAGAAATGAAAAAAATATATGATTATACTCTTTGCTTACAACAAAAAAGTAATATAACATTAGGTTGACATTATTTTAGTTTTCCATTGTAAAGTTAAACTGATCAAATGTCTGTTAAAATTACGATTGGTTGATAATTGAAGAATGTTAAGATTGACATTTAAAAGCTGTATATAAAACAGAAAAATGCCGCTGACTCCTAATTTAGTATGATCATAAAAGGTAAAATGAGATGAATGAATAATTTGAAGCATTTCCGTCGTGTCCCCATTGGATCATTTACTTGGCGTAAGATATAAAAAGGAAAACAATAGCGGAAAAAAGGTTAGTTTGGATACACACAATGCAACTTTATATGAACCAATAATAGTTAAAACGTGCGTTAAATTTATTTGTAGATAATTTTCCAAATATTCAGTAATTTAAAATGTATTTTGTACTTTTCTTACATTTTAAATTGGACACGAAGACAGTACTTGAGTGTTATATTACAAAGTTATCATCTTGAGTAGGGTATATAATAAATCTTGGACATCATTATGTTCACAGTTTTCAAAGTTAAAACAAAATTAAACATACTTTGACATGCTTGGTCATTACACGTAATCAATTCTGTGTCACTTCCTTTACAATCATTGCCATAAGGAGAAGGAGGTGGATTGCTACAATGCCTTGATCTGGAATTAAGACCGCCGCCACAAGTGACGCCACAGCCGCTCCATTCGCCCCATTGAGACCAACCTCCATTCACTGTTTAAGATAACAAGAAATAGTATACAAATGTTTAGAAATGTAAAGAAAGAAAATGTAAAGAAATGTAAGAAATGTTATCAGTACATTTTTAAGAATTAACAATCGCGCAATGCATTTGTATTGCTATATTGTTCTACACATCTTTCATATAAAGTTGTGTAAAACAAATTATGAGTTTTGACTTAAAACAATTACAAAAAACAATTTTATTAAAATAATTTCTACTGAGAACACAGGCTGAACTGTATAATGATTCTGGACAAGAAGGGATGAAAAAATTTATCAAATGGATGACGTTGTCGGATGAAAGTTGTGAAACAGCTCATATTAACTCAGCTTCACATCTCTTCCTACCTGGAGGTATATCACAAAACACTCCGCTATATCCTTTATAACAAGAACAGCTATATTTTCCACTGCCAGACTGACAATCGCCTTGAACACACTGGTTGTAAATGCAGTAATCCGGTGGTATATCACAAATAGCACCAGTCATTCCTCCGTGACAAATGCAAGAGAACTCGTTCACCATGTTCACGCAAGTGTGGTTCCCACAAGGGTTGTTAGCACATGCATTAAGCGCTAAAAAAGTTTATAATACTTAGATAATACGTTCTAAATTTCGTACTTTTTTGCTAAGTAATCATCCAATGATATCAGGCAATTTGAACTAATTTGCAATGGGTCCGCATTCCGTTAAGGACTTTGACTTTGTTCATGTACAGCCATTGAGAATGATATTTTATTAACATAACAATATTCATAATAATTTATTTCAACCGGTCCACTAGATTTAAAAATTATTCATCTATGACAGTTTAACTGACACAAGATTACTGAGTATCGTATTTCAACAGTAAATCAGTCTGAATATATGAATAGGCTGAAATCATGAACTACAAAATTTCTATATATATAATAATAATATATACAAAAAATGAAAACAAGTGCCGGAAAAAGTCACATATAAATAAAACAAAAAACACAGTCCATGAGTTAACTTATCTAATTAATTGCCAACCGGTTTCTCTTATGATCATCAGGGCAAATGTGACGTCGTGGCAAATAATTGAATAAGTTAACCCATGGACTGTGTTTTTTGTTATATATATATATATATATATATATATATATATATATATATATATATATATATATATATATATATATATATATATATATATATATATATATATATATATATATATATATATATATATATATATATATATATGTATGTAAACATTAAGTATGCTAAAAATGCGATTGGATTTTTACGTTCACATGCGGTTGATGTTATAATAGCAATGCCGTTTCTGACATTTGGCAAAATTCCTGACATTGAAAAAACTTCGTCGCTGTGTGTAATTGTACATGTCCGTGACAATGACTTAATGTCATCTTCAGTAAGTGCACGGCCATAAAGGACTAGTCCTGACACGTACAACCCTGAAGTTATATAAATAAAAATTTTAAATTTAAAGATACAATATTCCATTGCAATAAAAACTTAATTATTTAGAAGGTATTTGTTTTAGAAATTTTACATGACAAAGGCTTTGCTTGACAAACACAAAGTGCAGAATAGCTTTCTAAGTCGAATGTAAATAATACATGATTTTGTACTATTGTTTTCTCAACAGTCGGTAAATGTTTGCTTTAACTCAATTGTATATATGAATTTATGCGAACCTATGTGTTAGGATTTGAAACTGCCTTTTCTTTAGCATTTAAAGACATCAAATAGTAAATTCAAACTGTAACAGTGGTATGGCAGAATGTATATTTTTTCCTACATATTGTGTTTGGAATGAACAAACAAAATTATCTTAAAAACGAAATGAACGTGTCCAAAGTTCGAATTATTTTTTTCAAACAAATTATTAATTGAAATGTTATCGAGTTTTATGTCAGATATACTCGAAGAATCTCCTTGTCATTAGATAATAAAATACTCTTTATCGCAAATATGATTTTATTAATATAAACGTAGCCTTTAAAATACATGAGTACGTTGTTTGACCAGCATCATTATAGTTGTTGACATCCATGTTAAACCCCAAAAGCTCTAAATTATTAGGTAAGTACCATAGAAATTCAAGCAACTTAAATTCAAGCAACACTGGCCATCAGACACTGTGCGTGACAGTTCAATTGTAATTCCCACCTCGTCAACTTCCAATGACCCTGCGACATATAATCGAAAAGTGCCAGAGACTATATCAATTTCACAAATAATGTGTGTCCAGTAATTGTATGACAACCTTCCCATAGTCAAAACAACGTTGCTGAAAATAGGAATATGAACTTATTACATTTGTTTTAAAAAATACTGCTTTTTTATTATAAAATATACGTGCAGCTATAAAAAATACTTACTAGTTTAGGTGATGAAAATATTAAAGGCAATAAAAGTGATTAAAATATAAAAGAAATAAGGTTAAGTACTTGGAATGTATTGTTTTTTTAATAATACTTCTATACAAAAAGTATTCCCTTATTATGTGTCTTATTCTGTACTACTTTAATTTCAAGATTGATTTTATATTTTTAACAATTCCGCCTATGATGAAAACAACGTAAATCTCTAATATTTTTGCAAAATGAAACTGACACATTCACAGCGAAGATCAAGCAAACACTTTTGACAATAAAAACAAATAGTGACACTTTCAACAACCAAGTAATTTGTAATCTTAGACTCGTACCCTGATTCAACTTGTATCGAGATCTCACTTGCTACTCGAAGATTTATAATATCACCGTTGGAATCACCAATGACGATTGTCGTATTTTTATGTATCTCATTATGTGCCTTAAGCCAAACAGACATTGTCAAAACTTGTGTCTGATTTGCTGTGAAAGAACCAATAATAGTCCTTTCAGCTAAACCATTTGCGAACACATCAAAGTAGACACAATCATCTGCGGATGTTCTGCTCGTTTTATTAGTTGTTGTACCAACAGGACATGAGAGACATCTAGATTGACCCTTTTCCGTTTGGTAAGTGCCAAATGGACAAGCTGAACATTCCTCCATTGTAGTACTGGAGAAATAGCCGGGGCTGCATAATTCTGTAATATTTTTAAAAAATTCAATTTGGTCTACATGTAATACGGTTTGTGATTTAATAATGTTTCAAACAAATATGATATGATTTTTTTAATCGAATAAACATAAGCTTAACCTTTTAGTAAAATGTATCGAAGAAAGATTGTAAACAAGTTATAAATAACAAGAAAAGCATTGATGCAAAGCATCAAATGCGACACCAAAAAAATTTGATCAAGTTTTGCACCTAAATGCTTAACAAAAGATGTGTACTTTATAGAAGTACAATTACATGTGACCTGGAGGCTAGGACCCTGTTTAAGTTGAAAGTTGAACCCAAAAGAATAGACTCTGTCTAGACTCTAGTAGAATGAGTACCAGCCACATCCACCAGCTGCTGTCTATCAGAGATAAGACTTGAACCATGTAAGAATATCATTACCTATGGCAGATGCTTGAAGTTTCATGAAGAAGAAGAAGAAGAACTTCATGTGCAGTATAGTGTGATCAACTGTATCAAATGCCTTTTGTAGATCTAAAAGCATCATGCAATACTGCCTTTGTTTATTTCAAATTTAAAACAATCTGTTACATGAATCAAACATTTGTCAGTTGAAAAACCACTTCTAAACCCTGACTGAAACTGCCTGACCATGATTCGAACCCATGACTGTCAGAGGACCAACTGAGCTATCAGGCCGGCTACAAATTTTCTCTTTTAAACCACAACATATTTCCCACTATATTGATTTGTGTCCTTAAATTTTTTATGTTTACAGAGCAGAGAGAATTACACTCAGGGTTATATGCAGTCACAGGATGAGAAAAACTTTCAGCTTGACCAAAACTCGAACCTGTGACCCACAGAATAGTGTACCGCGGCTGTAGCGATTGAGCTATCTGGCCGCTTACACATTTTCTCCCCTAAATAGTGAACAGTTCTAAACCGTGATGATACTTTTAGATTTTTAAATTAACAAGGAGATTAATTCTTAATTAAACAAATAAGAAAAAAAACTTAAAATACAGAAAACCTGAAACCCAAAAGAACACCTTAAACAGCAAAATTATGAAATGTTGCAGGCTCAGTTTTATTAGGCCATGCAAAGTAATGGTGGAAAGTATTCATAAAAAGTTAGATGGTCATGTGACAGCATTAATTGCAGAAAATCGGATAGCTTTCAACATCCGGATACTGCTACACTTTGTAAAAACAATCATTCTGTGCAATAGATTAACGTAATATGGATAAAATCAATAGGATAATCGTTTACAACAGTTCAATTCCTATCCTAATACTCATTTGCAGGTGAACGTTCTTCTTGTAGGAAAATTTTGAAAATATATAAATTAATGAACAAGATTACGGTATCAATGTAGACCACAACGATATTCGAAATCTGGGTTTTAGTATTGCCAATACTACTAAAGGACAAGATGTTAAACTGAGTCTGCAATTTCGTGAAAATAATATCACAATACACATGCTTTTTACACGACGTTATTAAATACAAATATAACAACATATTTGTTTACTTGATTTTTACGAATCAAAATAAAACTAATTAACGCAACATGACATCAACTGATAATAATAACTGCTCTTTCCATAGGCCAAAATAAAAAAAACATTCCATAAGACCATAAGAGACGACGCCGCTCACCGGCGTCGACAATAATAAAATATAATAATATTAAAATTATATTATCAAAATAAATTATTATTAAAAAACTAGAAGGGCTTTTGTCACAAAATCAAATGTCTCCAAAAACTATGTATCCTGTGAATTATGGTGAAAATCCCACCAGCAGTTTGGCATGTGATAGGCGGACAGGACTTTTCTATTTTAAACTCTGGTATCCATATGCAGCGAAGCAGAACATGCCGGCAATATGCAAGGGATGGTAATGATAACTTATGTGAATTGTGAAAGCAGGACAAGATAATTATTTCTATTAAATAATAGTAACTATGATGTTTACTATAATAATTTGCAAAGTCAGTTTAATACGCCTCTATCAAGTAAATACTCATAAAATTAAATGTTTTCATACGATTTTGCAATTATATAATTTAGGTTCAGTATTTAAATTTTATACAAAACTACAAGGCAAACAATATCTTTTATATACATCACAATAGAAGATGCCGATTGGAAGCTGTAAAAAGTTTCTCCGTACTACCTTCAGTGTTGCTATAATTTCTGGTCTTTTGGGATCATTGATTCCAGCACTTCAAATTGTTGAAAATTGAGTATCCCTCTTGCCGATGATAGGGGGCGTGAGGAATGTGGCTTTTTATTATGCCTCATGTAAATGCTCAGTCGAAAAATAAAACAGGAATCCGTAAAGAAAGTCCAAAAAGACAAAATTGAAATGTTGAAGGCTTGGGTTGATTGCGCATGCTGATGGACGTCATTTTCAAATGTAAACTACTGTCCACTCCCCCAGCACCGGTTTAATCAGAATTCAACATTTAAACATGAAAATGGTGAGTTTTTTTTTTTAATTTAGAAACATTCGCAGATATATTCATACGGCGGTTATCACGGAACCTTTGATGTTACACTTTTAAGAAAAACTAAACAAAGTGGGTTTTTGAAGGGCATCAGAGTTAATGAAACCTAAATATCACATACCTATAGGTATAAGACGTATAAGAAAAATTAAAAAGAAACAGGCAACATATCCTAAGGGTAATTTAACATTATTCAAGTAGGAATTATGGAACCACATTACTAGAAAAATGCCGAAAAGTAAAAACTGTAAGTACTATAAACACTACAATAATGTTGTGCTGAAAGATCTTCAAGGATCGAAAAAATAACATCACTTATGTTATGTACGGGGCAATTTTTACGGCCTCCACATGGCACAGACAACGCTGGAATGGCGATACACCGAGCCTGCAATTCTATTTAATTCTATTGTGATAGATGCTTTCGAAGGATCACACTTTCTCCAGATTTTTGTAGCATAAATCTAAAGTTTAAAAAAGTAAATTTTGTTTTAAAATAAGATATAAATAATGAAACAGGAAGTTGACTCACTTATACATTTACGAATGTCTTTGGCACCCTTTGCTAAAGTACTGTAGCCGTTTTCACAAAGATTGCATTTGATGGCCCCTTCACGGGCATTATATTCCCCTATCTTACAAGCCTCACAATTCCCCGATTCAGAGTCCAAGTAAAACCCTGGTGGACAAGGTTCTGTAAAAACACAATTTAAGGGATACCTAATTAGTATAAATTATTTAAGGTTAATTGTTTGATGAAATAATAATACATTCAATATCTGCGCTTTTCAGCAAGATTTACATGAACTTGTTGGATTTACTTGTGGTGCAATAATGTCTGCACGATAAATTTAGAGTTTTCAAGCATAACTACATAACTGTGCATGCTATTAGAAAATGATAAAAGAAGTATTTTAAAGAAAATAATCGGCGTATTTTATATAAGCCAAAATATAATTTATGGCAAATATCTTTGAATCTTTAAATCTTTAATAATAAAAATGTATTACAAACGTTTTAAAATCAGGATTGTTTTCTACAAACAGTTCCTCACATTGTTTTATTCAAAGTAAATAATCTTCATTTAACACATCCCATTTTTTAAAATGCTTTAAGAAGCATGTTTAAATCTCTATATACACGTATCTAGGTATTTATCAATAATTCAAATATTTTACCAATTACTTCAAGGTTACTATCTAGGTTTTTATCAATAATTCAAATATTTTACCCATTACCTTAAGGTCACTATCTAGGTATTTATCAATTATTCAAATATTTTACCCATTACTTCAAGGTTACTTATACTATCTAAGTATTTATCAATAATTCAAATATTTTACCAATTACTTCAAGGTTACTATCTAGGTATTTATCAATAATTCAAATATTTTACCCATTACTTCAAGGTTACTATCTAGGTATTTTTATATTTTTCCCATTAACTTCATAAGCATTTTGTGAAAAATGGCCGTTTTCATTGAAAAGTCTCCCGTTACAAGTTCAAATTGCAATAACACTATAAAAACTCCTTAAATACTGATCAAACTTGGCGCAAATGTTGACTGGACCATTGCCGTTGTATCGACATGCTCAGTCTTAAAGGCCCTCGTTACTATGGCAACGAGGGCCTATCTCAAATTTGCCAAAAATCACTATTTGGCGTTGATTATTTCAATCAAAATTGATTTCAAAGTGCTGCATCTCCTTAATGGATTGAAATGCAGACAAAGACTTTTAAGCGTTGGTTACACGTTACCTTATGATCGACTTTGGGTCATATTTAGCTCTCACAAGTCCAAAAATTTTATTTGCGATGAGGGGGACTACCGCCCCCTTCAAACCCCCAAATACTAGTAGAAGGGGGCACATCCCCCTTCTTGCAACCCCCTGATGTATCTTTTGGATAGGGTGTGGCGCCTTAAAAGTGGTCACTTTTTTAAACAACATTTCTCAAACAAAAGCATGTGTTGGGAGCCTAAATAAGGCATGTTTTCACCATTTGAGATAACTTACTGCATGACAGACTTCCTGTATCAACTTTATACCCCAGATCGCAAAACAAATCTGAGGTACCCCTATGCACGCCGCCAATTCGTAATGTAAAGCCCTTCGCATTTACAATTACTCCGCCATGAGCATCTTTCTCTATTTTGTCTGCTATACTATTCAAATCATTAGCAAGATCGGAGTAGGGATTTTGTATTGACTTGTCCCCTGTATGCCATTTTTTCATAATATTGAATCTTATTAAACCGTACGCATTACGTTTGAAGATAACGTGTGAAGTTGCAGATTTCCGTTTTCTGCTCGAGGTATTACCGCAAAAGACATTTAAGTTATCTATTTTGCACGTGTTGTTGTCGGGACAAATAGAATTATCGACATCAGCTTTTACTCCGGATAAGTAGACTAAAACCTGTCTTTTTATCTGAGCTTTTGTGTTATTGTCATTGCAATCTCCGTCATAGTAAAGTTCTACAGGTAGATTCAACCAAGGTAATGATGAAACTGCAATACAGCGTGATTAAATAACATTTTATATATAATTTTCACTACTATCATTGTTGTTGTCGTAAATATTTTTCATAAGAATACAAAGAAACTGTGGATGGTCATTATGCTCTGCGCAAACCATGCTTAGTTCAAAACAATGGGTATGATATTTATTTCTTTTTTTCTTATTGTATTTATTTTTATTATGATAATGTTTTATAAATATGGTAATTTTCTTAGAATTGAATTGCAGTAAAACAAATCATAGCAAATTTAGTATAAATTAATTACAAAATTACAATCATAAAAGACGCTTGATGTAAATCATAAACATACCTATGCAGTCAGGAAAAGCGTCTAAAGGATACCAATTGCCACTGTCTTGACACGATAGCCTCCCTCGAAATTGCGTTCCCACAGACGGTATATCGTATCCTTTTTGACAAGACATGACGTGAAGAGGTCGAGCGTTTATAGAGTCAGTCGTTAAACTGCCGTATAAGGGCGGGTCTATTGGCGGACACTCAACAACTGTAGAACGTTGGCATAAATGAGGAAGAAATATATGATGATAAGTCTTAAGGTTATTTGACGTTTCATTTATTAGCTGATAAAAAACAGAATTTGTTTATCATATAAAGGATATTGAATGAGTGTAAGTTCAATACTGAATTTATTGCACGAGTTGAATAATATTATTTTATTCAACGAGTGCAATAAATTCAGTAATGAACTTACACAAATTCAATATTCTATTTATCACATACCCAAAATAAAGACCGTTTAAAGTGAAATAAGAGTCATTTTTCATTGACGCGCCTATAGTATAACGCTTACATAAAGCGCGTCTTTACACTATGTTTGTATAACGCTAATGACGTCACGTCAAAATATATGCACGGCCGTGCAGTATCATATTTACGGAGTCGCAAAATCGGCACGGGTGTGTGATAAAAAGTAATATCAAACTTGGTTCTCTTGCGAATCCCGCAAGTATGGAATCTTCCTAGCTTTTACTCTTTAAAAAAAATAATTAAACTCCAAACAAATTGCTAATGAGTTCTGACCAGACGTTGCTGTTCGTTAATAATAATAATATTTCATAATAATGTAAGCATTTCCAAATGAACCATTTAATTAGTATATTGACATGTTGCGTATGCAGTCTTGTTTGAAATTATGTAAGAAAATAGAAGGATCCTTTTGCACTTAACACTTTGTCTATTTCCCTTATTTCCCTTGCAGAAGCAAGTGCTGACATTGAAAAGTGTAAATGAATTTACTGTAAACAGTGATAAATAATATACCTTCACAAAACTGTGGATATTCTTGTCCCCATCTCCATTTCCCTTTATCAGTCACGCCATCACGTTCACATGTTAATAGGTTAGAGCCATTCAATGGCAGATTAAGGTCACAGTAAAGTGTACATGAAACACCATAATAAAATGACGTATCGCTGCAATTGTACATCATGAAACGAGAGTTGCTTAAAGAATCCGTCGGGCCAATGAAACATCGAATTACTGAATAAAAAAACATTTTAGTAGCCATTTGCTGTTCATATAAAGAAAATGTGTATGCTTTGACTACTACATACAATTATATGGCATCGATTTACTAATGTCTTCCAATAACTTTTTACTTAAAACGTTAATGAAACCTAATTTGTTTATTTTCTAATGGCATCGTTGACCTTTCTATTGTTCTATAGTCAATATCGGAAATGAATCATAATATGACATTATTGACCGGTGCACCTAAACAACGCGCCAAGTGACATCGTTTAGTTTATTCTTTGTTTCAAAATGAATAGGATGTGCGTTCCTAAAATATGATTTTTACATTATTTTTACGTTTTAGGGCGACCACGCTTCCTAAGTAAAAGGAGTAAACCCGTCACGGTTGTTTTCTATTCAATTCAAATCGAATTAGATCACGTGACACTCGTCCCGTCGTTAAAAGGAATTAACTTAAATGCGTTTAAAATACACACGGACAATTTTAAACGATTAAGGAAGCATTTTAAAATATTTTTTAGGAATTATATCTATGACATTTTAGTTATCAAAGAAAAAAATGGCAAAGTAATATTTCTATTACACATTCCATGTTTTACATGTGCTTGAAGCGATGTATTATATTTTCATATCTCTATCGATCCAATATTCATTTTTTCCATTATGTACTACAAGATCTATGTGCATGCTGTATTTTTTTTCTAAATATCAGTTTTAACATACTTATTGAAATACATTTGCATGACAAATTGACATTGGAAAAGACGTATGAAATAATGCAACGAAAAAAATGTAAATTGTATTCAAATGAATATACATGTACATATGATACAAGCCATTGGAGCCATCTTACTGAGATGCTTAAGTGGCAACGAAAAGTAATATAACTCCTAAAGAAAAACCAAGCTGAGTTTTATTGAACTTATATATGAGATGTCATAGATAGTAATAAAGTCTTTCATATCACTACCACCGTTATTCAATTCATAAGTTTTTAACTCAATGATCCCTACCTACCAGAAAGGAATCACAACACTGAGTTGAAATTTCTCCTATACGTTACATGTACTTGTATTGATCTTATATTATTATCTTTTAGTTCCAAAACAACATTGTTACTTCATAACTAATATGAAATTGATTGAGTTTTAATTTTATATTGTCGTTGTCAATCGATATCAGTCTCGATATATGGAATGCTACATTATTGTTGTGTCCTTCAACGGTATGTTTTTACATTGCAAAACGTTAAAATATGGTAAACGGTAACTATATATTTACCTTTAACTTCTAACTGTATTGTGCATTCAGAGAGTGCTACAAAGGAATTACCAGCAATGTCAGTGGTTTTATATGTCACCGAATGAATACCTTCTGGCAAAATGTCTCCTTGTGTGGGACCAGATGTTTGCAATATAACTGGATTTGAATCAATGTTGTCAGTAGCTGTTGGAACAATCCATTTTACAGTGGTGCTAAATGTACCACGATCAGCGTAGAATGTCTGAAAGGTGTGGCAAGAAATGACAGGAGGTTCATCATCTGTAAAATGATTCGGAATTATTTAAAAAATGCTTTGACCAGCCGAGTCGACAAAATACTCATTTTCAAAATTTGTACTGGCAAATAATTGCATACATGTAGTCAAGACTGCTGTGTGCAGACGTTGTGACTGTACTGCTATTCTGAATATCAACTGATTTTCCATGCGATAATCTCGCATTCGCAGCAGCTAAGTATTTAACTACTTCCTATAGTCATTATTATTTTTTTTAAATATGTCATTTGTTGATCTTTCGTTTGAAAACAAAAGAATAAGATAGTTTTGTATGAATAAATAAATACAACAAGTGGTACAAAACAATACCCACCAACACAACTGACTATGTTGGTGTCCACAGACCATGTTTTATTCGCCCTACATGTCATTTTTGATGGTCCGTTCAATTTAAATCCATCACCACATGAGATCAGACAGTCATCATTGAATTCAAAAGTATTGGTTTTATCACACGTAACAATTCCGTTAGTAATAGAAAATGGAGGGTTGCATTTTACTTCTGCAAAGATATAACATTTTCATTACGGACTACATACCTATCAAACAAATAATTCATATACTTAAACCTAAAACAAAGCAAATATAATATATACTTTGGATATGTTAAACTTTCTTTTTAGCAACAAGTTTTTCAAAAGTTGGTTCTTCGTGTAACAATTTTAATATTTTTGAAAATATTCTTCATGCTTGATTTTCCAAGAGCGTTAGTTTTATAAGAACTGTAGGTTGTTCTGATAAATCTGAAGAAATTACAGAAACATAACTTTTTTTTATACCAATGAGTTATCTCAAGTGTTGTCCTGCTTACACATTTCTTTTATTTATACCTACTACATAAATCAATTTATGATATATTAAATAATATTTTCAGAGCAATAGGTACGAAACTTGTCTTCAGTTTAGTTTTCAGATAACCAATTGCAATATTGAAAAAGCTTAATGCTTATATCTCCAATAACGTCAATGTTCATATAAACATGAAGTTTAAAACAATCAAAGGGAAGCAACAGTAATATTACTTTTACATGTTGGTGAGTTATTCCAAGTTTCGTTCTGCTGGCATGTTGTTTTATTACTACCAACAATAACGTATCCATCAAAACATACAAACGTGCATTCTCCGCCGTATATATAACCATCTGGACACGAGACCTTTCGTCCATTCATGGGAGTAGGTGGCTCACTACATGTCAAGTCTTAAAATTTTAATATAAAACCAATATTAATGGAGTGATAAATTTACTGACAAACATTCCGGCACCTTTAGTAGAATAAATATATACCTGTTATACCTTAAAATGTATGCTGTTTTCTTTTCTTTCGCGTGCTTTATACAAACTGATTCCGCCTTATATAACATCTGACAGAGACCTTTCGTTCATTATGTTGCTGGTGCTCATACATGTCAAGTCTAAAATTTAAATTAAAACCAACTTACTTTGCGGTCGGTCACCATAACCGGCTTACATGGAAAACTAACAAGTAATTACATGCTGCTTTGCTACTTAGTGGTATGATTCAATCAACAGTAAACGACAAATTAATTTATGAACATATTTGTTTTAATGTCAGAGATCAATCGCTTGATGTTCGAAAAATCGATCCCAGGATAAAATTCTTTATATTAAGCTAAGCTAAGTTTGGAACTAAACAATGTAAAATAATTATAATAATTTCTACAAAGGTCAGAAACCCAACTAAAACACAAGTCATGCCGTCATGCAATTATTAACCTACATTTAACATGAAATGAAAAACTGCACATGTCCTTTAGTTCATGTTGGTCTTTGGCTGTATAAATAATAGAATGATTTCGCCCTTTGTTCGGTAATCCTGGAAACGGATCGCCTTTCTTTAAGCCATGTGTCTGTTCATTTCTAAAAAGGTAAATTATATACGAGTGTTTTATTGGTGACGTTTAAATTGTACATCTTAAAATAATTTGAAATTACAATGGATGATGTTAACACTTACCTGTAATACAGATATTGTTTAGTATCCTTATCATGAAAAGTTGATCATTCAAGCAATCAAATATTTTACCACCAAACATACGATATACTTAATATTTAAAGGGTGTTTATTGGATGTATGAAAAAAGCAACCAATCAAATATCTGTTATGAAAAAATAGTTTAAAAAATGAGAATAAAGATCAATAAGACAAGACGAAGTTCAAAGAACACAGCCACCGATATAACCCAAACCAGAATTGCAGACAGGCACCAACAAAACAAGTGAGAGGACACATGAGCGGTGAAAGGAGATGAGAGACACGTTATAAGTGAAAGTGTAAGAACTGAAACAGCTGTTACAGGAATTAAAGGGGCAGAGTTTGGTTGTAAAAATGGGGAAAGAGACAAAATGAGATAAGGGGAATGAAAAGGAAATACTTACTAGTAAAGACAATTCAACAAGATAGAACTTCACAGAACGTGTTAACATACAGAACAATTAACATTTCACGAGACATGCTTGAAAATTTGGAGGAACACAAAAGGGTACACTTTGGAAAGGTCCAAAAGTATGTATCATATTAATTAAGATATACATACGAAACAACAGATTGATCATCTGTTGCAGAAGGATCTGTCCATTTGACATGTACCGTCTTTTCCTTTCTGTTTGCTATATACACTGGCTGTATATCAGGGGGAGGGCAAACAGTGTACTTTGGTGCTTCAAGTTTTTCTTTAATAATAAATCACTTATTTTTATTAATGATGAATTCAAAAGAAATAATTGTTTTGTACGACAATTTCGTTCTTTAGAAAATCTTTTCTTGCACATATATTAAACTTTTATGTTACACTCGAAAGAAGCAATACTCAATATCTATGAACAATTATTGCGTTTATAAAACAGTTTTAAGTGCAGCTTTTATGTGTTTTCTTATAAAGCCAGGGCAGTATTCAATTTTGCAATTAAATATTTAGGATTGAAGATTAATACATAAAACAACAAAGATATAAAGGACGGGATTATTATAAATAACTGCGACAAAGAAGTTACTAATATTAATTGAATCAAAAGTCTGAAAGACAAAGATATCTATAAAGCAAGGAAATCAAACAAATAGGTGAAAATATTTCACAAAATTTCGATGTGTCGGCTCAAGTTTAACAATTCTTTATGTATTATGCTAATTAGAAAAAGCTTCAAATTGTTTTGTTTAGTTCAAAACCTAAATGTTTGATTCAATGTGAATCAGTGCTGCCGAATAACTGGACAAAATAGACATTTCCAGGTAAAATATATTGGTAAATTTCTTTATATTTCTATCTTTTATCATGTGAATAAGCTCGTTTCCTGCTAATCTTTAGTTTAGCTATAAACAAAGACTTAAACTGATTCTATTGATATGCTTAAACACTAGACGTGCGCATGCACGCATCCATTGTCATGAAAATGAAGAAACTTTAATTGGGATACAAGACAGCTTTTGGTTATTTCTTTTAATTTTGAAACAAATTATTTCTATAGTTATCCTTCACAATTCACGTCAAATCAATTTTTGTCATATGTTTAGTTTCATTATTTTTCAATGTTTGTTTGTTTCATCTTACACCTTTCCTTAACGAAATTTCAGTCATATAGGCGGGTAGTTTCCTAACCATCGTTCCTGGAGAGTTACACTAGTTCTAGACTATCTTTCTCCGTGCTAAACTACAAAAGCATCTCCCGGGGATCGAACCCACGCCAGAGAGGTTACTCGATTAGAGTCATCGACTTTAACACCTCGGCCGTGAAATGATTCGATACACGTATATATGTTCAATTACTTTAATAAATGTTAATAAAGAAAATAGATTTATTTTATAACGTACTTTCCATTTCAGGATCATTTCCCTTTACATGTACAGACAAAGGCACAGTTAAATTTCGTTCAAGAACAATTTCCAAAAAAGGTAAATGATAAAAGGAGAAAGCTTATACCTAAGCTAAAGGAGGCCAAACAAGCAGGGAAAGGGCGAGGTTAGCATATGATACCCTATATATAGTTGGAAAACCGGTGAAAGGGGATAATTCGAGCTTGGGATTCGAGGAGAATTGACTGGATATTCTATCATGGACAGTAAACGGTTTAACCTGTGAATGTATGATAACAGTGAGTTTGTTAATTTGATCTAAAAAATGACATTATATTTTTATATGAGTCTTGGACCAACAAAGATAGTGATATTGAACTTTCCAATTATGTGTCTTATAACTTTTATAGAAAATTTCAAAATAGAAATGAGAACATATGCAGTGCAGGAACTGTTTTGTACTTTAAAGAATGTTAAAAACCAAGTGGTTTGTACACATTATGACACTATTATTTGGTTGAAGTTAAACCGATATATTTTTTTTCATTTCAATTCTGATGTTGATATATTTGGTTTATATATCCTTTAAGACGGGCCTCAATTGATAAATCTCGTAACAGTTTTGGGGTCAAGGTACTTGATCTTTGCAATGCAAACAATTTGCGCAATGCTAACGGTCGTCATTTTAATGATATTTCTGGTATGTATACTCTCGCAAATACAAAAGGGGCGCCCGTTATCGATTATATGATAACAAAAGAATGCAACTTTAACAAATTATGCAATTTTACTACTGATTCATTCAATGAATTTAGTGACCATGCAGGGGTGCTGTTAACATTGAGGTGTTCGAAACGCATGGATGAGATTAAGGTAAAATATGAGGTCAGGTATAAATGTGGCTATATATACAAGAATATATTTGGGTCACAGCTTATTTCTAGATTACCATATTTCAATTCTTTAACAAGTAATATTGAAAAAATAGTAGGGATTCTGTTAATAACTCTATGAATATTTTTTCTGATGTATTACGTGAGGTAACAGATCCATTGTTTTCTAAATCTTATGTATATAATCGTGAGTCGTATTTTTTCTGACAAGTTTTTTTTTTATAAAAATGGCCTACTGAGTTAATGTAGAATGCTCAAGGGCAAGAAAGCGATATGTAGAAGCTTTACGCATTTTTAACGGTCTAAAGTCGAATCAGAGTAGTGATTCACTATAATATTAAATAAACGTATAACGTCTCTTTGTGAAAATAATAATGTTATATCTGATGCACAGTTTGGATTTAGAAAGGGTAAATCAACTGTAGATGCTTTATTAGTCCCCTACCGGTTTACCGGAGGGGACTTTAGTTTTACCCTCCGTCCGTCTGTCCGTCATTCCGGGCGAACATCCAATGATCTATGAGCTTCATTGCGTCTATAATTTTAGTTAAAAAAAGAAGGAAATCCCATAAACCGACTGGTTTATGTGGTAATTTTACTGGTTTATGGGGGAAAATGCCACATAAAGATCAAAGATAAAGCAAATAAACCCAAATTGTTGACACGTCTGTCCGTCCGTCAGTCCGTCCGTCCACAAAACTGGATCCCGCGATAACGCAAAAAGGAATGAAAATATTTTTACGTAACTTGAAATATGGGTAGATGGCAGTATAGAGATTATGCATGTCTTTGTCTTTTCACTTTTTTTGAAAACAAATTGGTTGCCATGTCAACAAATAACAAATAGGCTTACAACATGGTAATATAACAATATTTGTTTTTAGACCAAAAAAAGCTGAACATTTTATGAAACTTAAAATATGGATAGAGGGTAGAATGGAAATTATACACATCATTTTAATCTTGACTGTAGGGATTATATTGAAAGCTTTCATACTTAAGAAACGTCAGCAACCTCGTCAAGATTTCTGATTCTATTTTTTTAGGCTTTTTCACTATAAGTTCTTATAAGCACACCAGAGCCGAAGGCTCAGGATGAGCTATTTGTATCAAAGGGGGATACTACGGCGTCCGTCGTCATGCATCAACAATCACCCTCTTCTCTGAAACCGCTGGACATATTTACTTCAAATTTGATCTGTAGCATCCTTGTGACAGTCACATCTTAATTTGCTCATATGATTTCAATTGGCCCCTTTAAGGGACCAAGAGAGCTAAAAATAGAGAAAAACCTTTAGACATCTTCTACAGAACCAATTGGTGGATGATCTCCAAACTTTGTCTGTAGCATTCTTAGGTAGTCTCTTATCAAATTTGCTCATATTTATTTGATTGGCCCCTTTTAGGGGTCTCTAGACCTAAAAATAGAAAATCCTTTAGGCATCTTCATCTACAGAACCAATTGATGGATGATCACCAAACTTTGTCTGTAGCATTCTTAAGTAGTCTGTTATCAAATTTGCTCATATTAATTTGATAGGCCCCTTTTATGGGTCAAGTGAGCTAAAAAATAATATAAACCTTTAGACAGCTTTTTCTACATAACTTATTGATTGATGATCACCAAACTTTGGTATTAGCATTCTTATAGTAATTGTTTTTAAAAATTGCTCATATCTATTTGATTGGCCCCTTTTAAGGACTGCTAAAGCTGAAATACCCCAGACCATGGCATTTCTTCAAATATAGTTTAATGAAAGGGTAACAACTCATGATGAAATGTCTTTCATATTTGCTGATGAAATTATTTGAGATCATGACCTCTGGCAAGAGAAAATAACTTGAGCACATATTGAGCACAGGATATATAAGGACTTATTTGGTTTCATTCATATTCACTTAATTACATCACTACATGCCGTGTTTTCTCTTGAGAGGTTTTCAGCGTTTTTGACGCAGTACTTTTGCATTTAACGCGGTAATATTATAGCCGTGAGTTTTCCGTGACGCATATTTTTGCCAGCGTCGTAGTATATATACTTTTCTATAAATAGCAAGAATTTCATCAGCTCATCGGTCACATGAGTTATCTTAGACGCTTTAGTGATTATTACACGTTAAAAGTGCTCAGATGTTTCAGATTGTGACGTCATTATCCGGGTAAATTCACAATGTTTGCTTCGAAAAAAAAGCAGCGAAGATTGACTTCATTCTTCAATAAAGACAATGCTAACGTTGATGGAGCGACAGAATCTACCGTAAACAACTCTGCGCCTATATCAAATGAGGTTTCCCAACCAAATCAATCGGCGAATACTGAAACAACTGAGAAGTCCAAGCAAAATGATAATTCTCCGAAGCGAGTTTTTCGTACCGAGTGGCTTGAAAGCAATTTTTGCTTGTGGTATGACGGTAATAAAATGACTTGCCTAGTTTGTATAATTGAAAATAAAGACAATCCATTTACATCGGGTTGCACAAACTTTAGAGCATTCGGTACTGCCTCGGCTATTATCTATAATAACCTCGGAAACAAAACGGATTGAAAGTAGTTCTACCATAAAAAGAAACAGAGATAATGTAAAACGAATGTATATATTTAACATCTAATGTCTACTCCGGTAAGGTTTGTGCTTGAAAATATGTCTGACAACAATTTGCAATTTAAATATGCCCACTGATGTTCAATTTTAAACAAATCCGACTAAATGTCAACAGGTTGGTTTTTTTGTACTTTCGGTTTCTACAACCATAATAACAAGAGCCATGTCAACATGGCCATCCCTCGTTGAATGTGATTGCTCATTGGAAGAATATATATGTAATAGAGAAGAATAATTCAATTGTAAGAGGTCTTTTGGTAATGAAAACTGATGACTGAAGTGATTACAGTTTTGAAACCTATGTGAATACTGATGGCTAAAAATAACAAAGGGCAATAACTGAAAAATAATGCAGGGTAAGAAACTATTATTGTTTGCTGCACTCC